GACAGCCTTTCCATCTGCTGGTTCACTCCCCAAATGGCTACAGAAGCCAGGGCTGGGCCAAGCCAAAGCCAGGAGGAGCTTCAAACAGGTCTCCCACACGGGTGCAAGGGCCCAAGAACTCGGGCGATTTTCCACTGCTTTCCCTGGCACATTGGCGGGGAGCTGAATTGGAAGTGGAGCAGCCTGGACATGAACCCAGCGCCCATACAGGATGCTGGCACGGCAGACGGTGGCTTAACCAGCTATGCCACAGCGTTGGCCCCAGTTCTCTTCTTCAATACGCCTAAGTGAAGTAGTGGTTCATTCCCCACTCTGCTGCTTCACTGCAGCTGTAGTCCTGGCCCCCTTATCCCACTCCATTCCCGATCCCTGTATCCCATCATCAATTTTTGGGAAGAGCTGGCCAGCCTGAAAAGCTGGGTCTGCCAGATGCCCTCGTCTAAGGAACTTGAACAAAGGATGTTGGAGTAGAGCACCCTCCAGGTGGGACGACGGTGACGCCTCCCACCGGACACCACCTTCCATATCCATGGCTGCTATTCCGGTCTCACTCACAGGTCCTCTTCATCTCAGCACCTCAAAGCCGTGCGCACATCAATCGCCAGCCAGGCGGCCTCGTGGGCGGGCACATGGGGAGAAGGTTCTAACAAGCACCTTTACATTTAAGGTAAATGAGATGAAGAGAACCCCCACCCCCACCCCACCCACAAGCCAGGCCACACAAGGTGATGAGAGCCAGAAAGAGATCACAGGACGCCTGGGTCTCTACACCCACGTGTATCAGGTGCCAAGGCTCCATCCCCGAACTCCCCCCTCCCTCGTCCCCTGGCAGGCAGAGGGGCTTGACCCCTGCAGCCTCAGTGCACATGCCCCAGTGGGCTCCAAGTTTACTGTGGTGCACGGCGCGCGTTTCTCTTCTGCACCAAAGCACCATGCATCTGGGCAGGTCCTGGGTCAGAACCTCTCCCTGAACAAGCAGAGCAGGTCTGAGCGTGGGTCTGCTTGGGAAAGGAACAGAAGGCAAAGACCTGGCAACCCCTTTGCGGGTTCTTCATCTGCCGGGAGCGCCATGTGGCTCACCAGGGGCTCTCCACAGGGACACTGTGAACTTGAAGACCGCACTGCTCTTCACAACATCTTTCTGCAAGCAAAGCTTAAGCCTGCAGCTCAGGGTTCAACTCCAGCTTCCACCACGGACGCTGGGCCTGCCCATAAGGGCATCGGCAGGGAGTCCACCAAACATCTTTCCAAAGCCAACCTCTCGACTCCCCAGTGTAGACATTCCCAAGGCTTAATCCTTGAGTTCTGCTGAATTCTCAACCAGTAACAGTCAGTATCTGCATAACACTGTGCAACACACGACCCTGCTTCACACACACCACCTCATTCGACCTTCCGAATATTGTGTAGAGAGGCATGCCATAATGGTTAAGGCACAAACTCTGGAACTGGAGAGCCTGGGTTCAAGTCCCAGCTCCAGCACTTCCTGGCTGTGTGACCCTGACAAGTTGCTTAGGCAGCAGTTTCACAATCTGTAAAACAGGGATAATGGGAGTACTTCCCTCACAGGGTGAGTGGGAGGAGTCACTGAGGGCTCAGAATAGCACTTAGGACACACAGTGTTTGAGACATCAATACATGGAGGAACAGGCATTAAGAAAGGTTACGCGATTAGTTCAAGACAACAGTACACAGCTCTCCAACTTGGCCCTGGGTCTGTTGTCCATATCATGCATCCTTTCATCAGCTCAGGGGAGATTCTGCACAGCCCAGCCTCCCCAACTCCAGATTGCCCCACACCCACCACAGGCCCCCTGCTCCAGCCTCCCTACCATTCCAGACTCCCCTCACCACAGGCCCCCTGCTCCAGCCCTCCCCTCACCACAGGCCCCCTGCTCCAGCCCCCCCCCACTCCAGACTCCCCCACCCCACCACAGGCCCCCTGCTCCAGCCCCCCCCACTCCAGACTCCCCCCACCCCACCACAGGCCCCCTGCTCCAGCCTTCCCCCCACTCCAGACTCCCCCCACCCCACCACAGGCCTCCTGCTCCAGCCTCCCCCCACTCCAGACTCCCCCCACCACAGGCCCCCTGCTCCAGCCTCCCTGCCATCTAACCCCAATCCCTTTAGCCTATCCTACTACTACTCTGCCTGTTTGTGGAATGAATGAGTAAATATTTATGATGCCTAAAATATTTATGGATCTAACACTTTATTGGGAAAAAAAGCAAACAAATAAATGAGAGAAGGAGGAGACTGAGGCTGGGAGCAAAACAAAAAAAATATGCACGAAGTCACAACATTGGATTTGGCAATGATTTCTTGGCTATGACACCAAAGGTGCAGGAAACAGAAGAAAACAATAAACAAACAGGGCATCATGAAAATTCAAGAATTGTGTGCATCCAAAGACTGTCAGCAGAGTGCAAACGCAATCCACAGAAGCAGTGACTGTATCTATAAACCATATATCTGAGAAGCAGTTAATATCGACAAGACATAGGGGACTCCTAAAACTCAATGACAAAACTACAAACAGTCTAATTCAAAAATAGGCAAAGGCCGAAATAGATATTTTTCCAAAAATATGAAAACTACCAATCAGCACATGCAAAGATGCTCAACATCACCACTCATTTAGGGAAATGCAAATCGAAGCCACAATGTAAGACTCTCTCATACCCCATTAAGATGGCTACTAGGAAACACATACACACACTCACACATGCTGATATAGTGATGAAAAGGTGAAGAAATTATGTCTGTTCACTGCTGGTCAGACTGTAAAATGGTACACCCACTGAGGAACATAGGATGGCTGTTCCTCAAAAAATTAAAACCTAAAGTCTGGGGACGGCTGTGGTGTAGCAGGTTAACACCCTGGCCTGAAGTGCCAGCATCCCATATGGGCGCCAGTTTGAGAACCGGCTGCTACATTTCCGATCCAGCTCTTTGCTATGGCCTGGGATAGCAGTAGAAGATGGCCCAAGTCCTTGGGCCCCTGCACCCATGTGAGAGACCTGGAAGAAGCTCCTGGCCCCTGGCTTCGGACAGGCACAGCTCCGGTGGTTACAGCCAATTGGGGAGTGAACCATCAGATGGAAGACCTCTCTCTGTCTCTCTGCCTCTCCTCTTTCTGTGTAACTCTGACTTTCAAATAAATAAATAAGAATCTTAAAAAAAAAAAAAAACTAAAGTCACCATAGGAGCCAGCAAATCCACTTTTGTCTACATGTCCAAAAGAACTGGAAGCAGGATCTTAGAGGAATATTTGTATGCCCGTGGTCATAGTAGCACTATCATGATAACTCAGATGTAGAAGCATCCCACATGTCCATCAACAGATGAATGCACTATCAAAATGTGGTATTACATACGATGGAATCAATACAGGCCACAACACAGATGACTGTCGAGGACATTATGCTAAGTGGAACAAGCCAGTCACAAACACACACACACACACACACACACATACACAAGACAGATACTTTACAATTCCACTGGCCGGAGGTACTTAGAGTAGTAAAAATTATAAAGACAGAAAACAGGTGGTTGTCAGGCTATGGGAAAGGGGGAGGGGCAGTTATTGTTCAATGGGCGTAAAGTTTCAGTTTTGCAAAATGAAGAGAGTTCTGAGGAGGGACGGTGAGGACGGCTGCACCGCAGGAATGCACGGAACTGTGCAGAGAGAATGATTACAACACGTTGTACGTACATTCTGCCACCATTAAAAACATCCGGGCACCCTCCCTTTCACTTCACTCCATGAGGTCTGGAGCCTCACGGGATGAGGGAAGCCAGCTGCCTTCAGAGCTCCTCACCCGTCTTCAGAGAGGAGGAGAACCTTGGAAAACATCCAGTGTGGGGCAGGCACTTGGCACAGCGGTTAAGTCCCTGCTTGGGACACCCGCAATCCAATATCCCAGAGCCTGAGTTCGGTCTGGTTCTGGTGACGTGGCTGCCAAGTCAGCATTCCTGCTAATGCGCCCCCTGGGGAGCAGCAGACCAAGGCTCAAAGTATTTGGGTCCCTGCCACCCACGAGGGAGATGTGGCTTGAGTTCTGTGGTCCTAGTTTCACCCTGGCCCAGCCTTGGCTGCTGTAGACACTTAGGGGATGAACCAGAGGACTGAAGATCTTCCTGCACACACATTGCTTTGTCTTTTAAGTAGATAAAAGATATAGAAATAAGCACGTGTTTTTAAGATTTATTTTATTTATTTGGAAGATAGAGTTTCAGAGAGAGGTAGAGCCAGAGAGAGAAAGAGGTCTTCCATCCACTGGTTCACTCCCTAAATGACCGCAATGGCCACAGCTGCGCCAATCTGAAGCCAGGAGCCAGGAGCTTCTTCTGGGTCTCCCACATGAGGGCAGGGGCCCAAGGACTTGGGCCATCTTCTACTGCTTTCCCAGGCCATAGCAGAGAGCTGGGTTGGAAATGCAGCAGCTGGGTCTCAAACTAGTGCTCTCATATGGGGTGTGGGTGCTGCAGGCCAGGGCTTTAACCTGCTCCGCCTACAGTGCCAGGCCCCATGAAATAAGCATTTTTTTTTTAAAAAAAAGGGGTGAGAGACAACTAGTCTACCTACCTTCCTCCTGTAACAGAGGAAACTAACCCCTGTCTGGCCTGAATGACTCCTCCCAAGGGACTCACCTAGCAGTGCCCCTTCCCAGGCTGAGCCTGCTGAATAAACACCTTCTGTGAGTGGGGCTGCTGCCGCCCCCAGTGGATGGTGACGCCCAGGAGACAAGGCAGAATGAGCTTGGCTCCGGACAAGCATTGCGTCGTGGAGAACGGGAGGGATACTCAGTCCTGAGCAAAGCTGGACTCGCAGCCACACGGATTGTCCCAGAATGTTTTAAAAGCGCAACTGGCCTCTCTCCCAGGCCTCCAGAAGCAACATTCAAAGCCACCCTCACCGCCCTGGTGTTTCCCAGTCAACCCGGGCAGCCCCCCAAAAAGACTCGCAAGCAAGCACCCCGACGAAGACAACTCACGCAGGGGAGAGACTCAAGCCCCGGGGAGGGAGGAGCGGCTGAAGTCCTGCCACTGCTCTGGGAAGTCTGAAGGGGGAGAGATCGTCGCTAGGGAAATAGCTCCTCCAGCGGCTCGGCGGCTCGCAAGGCTGGTGTCTCCCTCTGCGGGGCCTCAGGAGTGCCTTGACAGGGAGAAGAGCAGAAATGGCAGCTTTTCCACTGCAGGCTCAGGGAAGCCTTCACAATCACCGGCCCGTGGCCTTCCTGCCTGGATCTGGGACTCCCAGCGAGTGCCCGTGGGAAAGTTGGACCACTCCAGGACAGAGCTACCCAAGGCCGGTCCCTGTCTACCCAGCGCCACTGCTAGGAATGGCCGTGGGGATTCAACAGGGCTACTGGAGGCCCTGCTCTGATGGACAGGGGTCAAAGCCACTGCCCGCAGCTCCTGGCTCCTACATCCACTGGCTACTCAGCAGCTCCACCTGCCCACACAGGCATCGCAAGCCTTATACATCCAAACCTCAATTTCTGATCCGTGTCCTGTCAAACTCGCCCCTTCCACGTTCCTCCTCATGTCACACCTGGGATACCACCACCCCCACTTCCCTCCAGGTGATCAGACCAGAAACATGGAAGTCATTCCTGGTTCTTCAAATTCTCTCACATCCCGTAGGGGGAGCACAGGCGAATCTGTTCACTCTGCATTCTGAAACGCGTCTGGAACGTTTTTCTCTAGCCCCACTGCTCCCACAGGTGCACGTGGTATTATCTCAGGACTCATTCTCCATGTGTTGCTCCTGCCCTTTCCCTCAAACTCGACACAGCCGCGAGGGTGAGCCTGAAGAAAGAGAGGTCAGACGCAGTCACTGCTCTACCCAAAACCCCAAAAGGATCTCCAGGTCTCTAGAATGAGCCCCAGGTTCTCACCCAGACCTGCAGCCACCCCCACGGTCTGAGTCTCCATGACCACTCCAACCCTACAATAACAGCCCCCTTAATCCCTTCCGTTTTGACCTCCCTATTCCAGCCACATCGGGTGCGCTTCCCCACACGGCTTCCCATGTGCAGGACGCCCTCATCTTTGAGACGCTTTCAAGGGTTGCTCCCATTTCCTTTAGGTCTCTGGTCACAGCTTCAGCAAAACCGTCCAGGTGCCCACTACCCAGCATTTCACACCCCCTCCAACGCTGCATGGCCCCACTCCCTGCTTTGCTCGTCTTCCTAGCACATGCGTGTGTGCCCTTCATAACTCATCTTGTAAATGTCTGTCTCACACAACACTGGCGGTTGCATGAGGGCACCAAGAACAGTACCCAGCACACGGTGGACGCCTTACACACGGGACAGGTAAATCAATACAGGAACAATGCTGGCCACCCCGGCTCCCTTGCTTTTCTTGCCTTGAGGCTTTATTTTTCTGCAGTGGAACAGCGGACTCCATTCATTATCCAACAGAGATGCCTTCTTCGCTGACCCCTTTCAACAGAACCGCGATTTGACAGTGGTTCCAAGTGTGCCTATGAAAACACACGCTCTTTAAAAACAAGGGGGAGGGGGTGTAGTGGGCTAAGCCTCTGCCTGCAGCGCTCGCATCCTGTGTGGGCACCAGCTGGAATCCCGGCTGTTCCACTTTGTGATCCAGCTCCCTGCTGATGCACCTGGGAAGGCAACGAAAGATGGATGGCCCAAGTGCTTGGGCTCCTGCACCCACGTGGGAGACCCGGATGAAGCTCCTGGCTCCTGGCTTCAGACTGGCCCAGACCTTGCTGTTGTGGCCATCTGGGGAGTGAACTAGCAGATGGAAGATCTCAATCTCTCGTTCTCTCTCTGCCTCTCCCTCTCTATAATTCTACCTTTCAAATAAATGAATAAATAAATATTTAAAAAATAAAAAGAAAATACATGCATACGTTCTCACACAGAGCTTGGCATGGCCACTAGGCCCTGGCTACAAGGCCCCGTCTGGAAGCTACCTATTTTCTGATCAAAGGACACAGACTGGCCTGTGGCTTTTGCCTTTCTTTTAGTCCTTTCTCCACACCAGAATGCATCCTCAAAGCCTGAAGGTAGTAGAACAGTCATTTTCTGACTGTGGGCTAGAAATCTCACGCAATGCAGAGCAGAAAGACTGAAATAGCCTACTGAACTGTGAGGCCACACTGTACCCAGCCACAGCAGAGCTCCTTTTATGTGCAGCCAAAAGCACCCCTAACTTGAAGCACAGGCTGCAGGTGAGAGGAGTGCGGCTCATCCTGCAAAGCCATGCCGTCAGGGAAGAGCAGGGCGGAGGTATCCTTTCCCGCAAAGAACAACGGAGACAAGTTTCAGCGAACACGTCCGTTTATTAACAGCCACGTATGCTTTTTAAAGAGCAGGGAGGGGCCGGCGCCGCGGCTCACTAGGCTAATCCTCCGCTTTGCGGCGCCGGCACACCAGGTTCTAGTCCTGGTCAGGGCGCCGGATTCTGTCCCGGTTGCCCCTCTTCCAGGCCAGCTCTCTGCTGTGGCCAGGGAGTGCAGTGGAGGATGGCCCAACTGCTTGGGCCCTGCACCCCATGGGAGACCAGGAAAAGCACCTGGCTCCTGGCTCCTGCCATCAGATCAGCGCGGTGCGCCGGCTGCAGTGCGCCGGCCGCGGCAGCCATTAGAGGGTGAACCAACGGCAAAGGAAGACCTTTCTCTCTGTCTCTCTCTCTCTCTCACTGTCCACTCTGCCTGTCAAAAAAATAAAAAATAAAAAAATAAATAAAGAGCAGGGAGGGAGTCGGTGCTGTGGCACTGTGGGAAAGCAGGTTAATGCCCTGGCCTGAAGCGCCGGCATCCCATATGGGCATGGGTTTGAGACCCAGCTGCTCCACTTCTGATCCAGCTCTCTGCTATGGCCTAGGAAAGCGGGGCAAATGGCCCAAGTCCTTGGGCCCCTGCACCCATGTGGGAGACCTGGAAGAAGCTCCTGGCTCCTGGCTTCAGATCGGCACAGCTCCGGCCATTGCGGCCATCTGGGGAGTGAGCCAGCGGATGGAAGACCTCTCTGTGTGTAACTCTTTCAAATAAATAAATAAATCTTAAAAAAAAAAAAATAAAGAGCAGGGAGAAGGGGCATAACTAACTTAGGGGACCACTGACTATAGGACAGAACTGATACTGGCTCCAATGTGCCTCTCCAATCAGCTTGAAGGTCACGTAGCTTTCCAGGTGGGCCTGGGCCACACCTGGGAGCAGTTTACCTGATTGGCAGAAGGCAGGGGTGGGGAGAAATGTGCTTGGGCTCAGGCTAACTGCTGGGATCGCCCACAGAGGAGAGGTGTGGAGGAAGGCAAACTATTCTGTGCATGAATATTGTGGTGCAAGCCAACAGCTGGTAAGGATTGGTGCCAGGGCTGGCATTGTGGTGCCGCTGGTGAAGCCGCTGCCTATAACACCATCATCCCATATTGGAGCACAGGTTCAAGTCCTGACTGCTCTGCTTCCGATCCAGTTCCCTGCTAACGCCCCAGGGAAAGCAGTGGAAGACGGCCCAAGTGTTTGGGCATGTGGGAGACCTGAATGGAGTTCTGGGCTCGTGCCTGGCCGCTGTGGCCATTCAAGGAGTGAACAAGTGAATGGAAGATCTCTTTTTCTCTCTGTCTCTCCCTCTCTGTCATTCTGCCTCTCAAATAAATAAAACTCTTTTTAAAAAAATGCTGAGTGAAGTTTAGAAAAGAAAGGATTGATGTCACGGGGTCTTAACTTATCCATCCTCTCCTCCTCCCTTCTGCCCAGACCCTCTGTCCTCAACTTGCTACCTTTTCCCATGGTAGCTTTAAGCAGAATCTGCACTGGGTTCTGATTCTGATCATTAGAAGGAGAGAACTTAAAAGTATCAATTTCCCTCCCAACAATGCACTCAAGCTGAGTGAATGCGCAGGAAATGCCTCACTTCTCAATTGACAGCACTTTACCACCAGAAAACATCAAAATTCTTTTAAGCCTTTAAGCAAACGTCACAAAACCTACCATACATTTCACTATACTTTAAAACTATGTGAATATATAACATACTGATTTTCATAATGATTTGAGGTCATTCAGTCCCAAGATACATGGAATTGCATGATTTGGAAAAGACCGCAGAGATCAACTCTAATGCCACCACTTTCTTTGGAAACCGTGGGGAGGCTGAGAGCTTGCCCAGTCACGCAGCCCCGGGGTTCTGACGGGGAGCCAGTCGGGACCATAGTGTTTCCTCTTACGCCTTGCATAGTCTCTATCTCCTTTGTATACTTCCTGTGCAACTTGTCCCAGACTTCAGTTGTCCCCTTCCCTATACAAGGTACACTCTCCTGTAGCTTCCCTGGTCAAGGTTAAAGGTCTGAGGGCTGACGCTGTGGCATAGCGGGTTAAAGCCCCAGCCTGCAGTGCCGGCATCCCATATGGGTGCCGGTTCGTGTCCCGGCTGCTCCTCATCCCCTGCAGCTCTCTGCTATGGCCTGGGAAAGCAGCAGAAGATGGCCCAAGTCTCAGGTCGTGCAACCATGTTCCACGACATCCACACCACAAAACCACCCAGCGACACATTTTTCAGAATCTACCCCCATCGTTATGTGATACACGGCTCTATTTCAGGAGCAGCTGGCTCCCGGCCCACCGTAAGAGGTGCGCGCTCTGAGATGCACTTCTGGAACATTCCACCCCCACAGTGAGCCTTAGCATCCCTTCCTGTGTGCATTTTCCTTTGACATTTTAGTTCCCATCAGATACGTGTGTCTTCACACAGTATACGTTTTTATTTTAGGTGAGGAGGCTCTCTCTTCCAGACAGCGTATGAACGCTACCTCAGTTTCCTGTCTGACTCTGCATGTGAAGAAAACCTACTTACACTGTATCCTCCCCCTACTCCCTAATATCTGTTTCCACCTGATATTCAAGAAGAAGAACACGGCCTTTGGATTCGTGACCAAACTTGGGTTTGAATTCCCAATGACCCTGTGTATGTCAACTCCTCTGAGCTTCAGTTTCTCCACGAGGAAAGAGTAGAACCAACCTTCTTTACATGGTTGCTGAGGGGAACAGAGGAGGCAACCTGGGTAAAAGCAGCTTGGCAGGGTGACTGTTAGGAGAGAAGCCCAAAGAATGTTTCAGAGAGGCATGGGGGGCCGGCGCTGTGGCGTAGCAGGTAAGGCCGCCACCTGCAGTGGCAGCATCTCATAAGGACGTCGGTTCAAGTCCCACCTGCTCCACTTCCAATTCAACTCTCTGCTAAAGCCTGGGAAAGCAGTAGAAGATGGTCAAAATCCTTGGGCCCCTGAACCTGCATGGGAGACCCAGAAGAAGCTCCTGGCTCCTGGCTTCAGATTGGCAAAGCTCTGGCCACTGTGGCCATCTGGGAAGTGAACCAGTGGATGGAAGACCTCTCTCTCTCTCTCTCTCTGCCTCTGCCTCTGCCTCTCTGTAACTCTGACTTTCAAATAAATAAATAAATCTTAAAAAAAAAAAAAAGAAAAAGAAAGGTATGGAAGACATGAAAAGAAAATTCAATTCTCCTCCCCACCCCTTCAAGTCGTAATGAAAGCCAAAGAAATTTTCCCTGATTAGGGAAGTGGCTGAAATGGAAGAGAGAAAGGAAGCAGTGTGAGAGAACAAAAGATGGAAGCTGCATCAGGCTGCTGGAGAGGCTCAGGGCACCAAGACAGGCCATGACTGCAGCCCAGGGCTTCCTCCAGGGCCGAGCTGAGTGGGCAACCACACAGTGCCTGGCTGGGCCCGGCTCACCGGCCCCCAAGTAAACACTTCCACCTGTGACCATGAGGGCTGATGTCCGCGCTTCCTCTGGCTCACAACTCCTTCCCTGAAACAGCAAAGCGCATCTTTTTAAGCAGAAATCGTAAGGGAACGTCAGGGTAGCTGGGGAGAGTCTGACAGGTCCACAGAGAAGTCTCTAGGTCACAGTCCTAGCCAGTGATGATCCACTCTCC